TTACAATATCTGTCATTCCCTCCTGTTCTGTTATTATTTTACGAAATACCTGTCTATCCTCTTCTGTGATTGGGAGATGAATTTTGTTAAGTTCGAAGCCTGTGTACTGAGAAACCTGGTCACGTAGTTCAGCCATTATATCAATAAAGCTTATCTTTAAAATATGTAGATTTGTGAAAATACTAATGATCATTCCAAATCACTCCAGGTATTTCTGAGGCCAGACTGTATGATCAGAGGCCGGAAGTTTAGAGTGATCATCCTAGGCCGGAAGTTCGAAGATAGGAATTGAAGTTAGTTGGTATTATTGCACGAGAAAAAATATGTAAATAATATTATGAGTTCTCTTAGCCGAAATTACCACACCTCGCTAAGAGTACTTAACAATATAGTTCAATGATTTCATCTATATCCACTTCAGACGAATCATCTTTTTTACCATCCTGTAACCTTGATAATGTTTGATAGCATGTAATTTCTAGACTAACTATCCTATACCATGTATTTCGCAAATCAGTTAGTAAATCATATCCATTTTCTAGATTATATGATAACATGTATCTTTCTAAGGACTTTCGATCTGTGCTTACCGACCTTAGTAACTAATTTATACATTCCATCTCTATAGCCAACATCAATCTTAGAAATTTCTGCGAGTAATGTTGTTAGCTTTAAGTGGATGGATTCCTTTTGCTTGTCTAATGCATCGAGGTAGGAAGACCAATAAGCATCATTTCCCGAGTATTTTACTATTTTATCAGCATACGTGTTATTAAATAAATTTTTCGCATAAGTATTAGCCTCTTTCCACAGATGAGATATAATGGCATGACCTTTTTTCAGACCAGTATGTAGCTCTTTGATATATCCTCTAACCCACTTTTCAGCCGATTTCTGCGCTAAGACATCTCTTATTTTGATACCTCATCTTCATCCATTTTGTCTTCATCCTCTTCATCTTCGTCCAGATCATCTTCATCTATCCCACTGTCATCTGTTTTATTGTCACCCAATTTTTTACCATCTTTTAACCTTTTTAAGGCCTCCAGCACAATTTCAGATGATGGCTGGAAACTTTCATCATAGTTAATAAATCGTGCACAGAAGCTGACAACAGTTTTCAGATAGTAGCTGATATCGATCTTTTTACCTAATCGCCTCACTACCTCTGGATACTCCATTTTATCCCCCACCTTCTATGAAGAATCATTTTCAACTACAATATACTCAAAACGCTCACCTGGTTCTGGAATTTCATAAAGATAAGGCTCGGGTGTTAGGCCCTTTTTTATGCGTTATTTAGCATCCGCTTCTTCACAGGTGTGTCTATCCCGCATTCGTGAAATGAAACGCTGAACACTCTTGTTATTTTTATCAGGTCTCCACACAGCAGTTTTAACCACTTCATTAAGATCTATCTGTGAGATATCATTTATAGTCTCTTTGAGCACGTCCTCCACAATCCGATGCAAGGTGCGAGTATTATTCAGCCTCATAGATTCATCCATGACCTTCTTACCACCTCACGAAAGTATTTAGACTGCCTCCGCTTTACAGTCTCAACTCCCCGGATGAAAAGCTTGTTATTAAAGTTCGGCTTGCTTATATGCGGAATGCCAAAGTATTTTTTCTTTCTAGTAAATATTACCGGAAATAAAACCTCCTCATACGCCATTTTGAGATAAGGGGAACCGTTATCTGCCCTAAGAAAGTCATTAACTTCACCCCAGAGTTCACTCATTGCTTCCATAGATATTCTCACCATCTCCTCCCAGTACTTTTCCTTCGATATCTTTTCTGAAATGTGTTTCTCATCACACTCCCAGAAATATTCTTCTGGACAAACAAGGTATAATGAATCGGTATCCCTATATTTTACGCTAAATCCTTTACTTCTGACAAGGTCGGCAATAAGCTTGATATTCCGCTGTCCAGCTGATGTTACTTCACCTGCTAATGCTCGCAAGAAGAAAGGGGAGTCACTATTTCCTACTTCACCGTAAAACGAATTCATATACAATTTTAAAGCGAGTTGTTTGGAGTCATGACAAGAAGCATTGAAGGAAACTGAAGAGTATTCAGATTTTAAAGCATCTGTAACATCCTTACCCCTTGCTTCCGCCAAACTAATCTCCTTTTCTAATTCTTCCTTTTTATCCTTTAATGGAGCAAGACGTTTTTTTA